ATTAAATATCTTGCGAAGAATTTTCTCTTGAGAACTCCCAGTGCTTTTTCATCGTTCTACAATAGTTTTTTCTTTTCGGCATCATACAAAAGCAGAGGTAAGATGGGTGACCTATAGAGCATAAGTTTAGTCAGTCGAGAGAGAACTTTACAGGTGCCCATAGTAGCACCAATCATCTGATCTCCAGAGTCACATCATTGGATCGATATCTAGGCGCTTTCACGATGGATAAAGTGCTCAACAGCTTCAAAAAGATCTTCGCAATTCACTAGCACGACACACATGTCTACTAGTAGCTAACATATACTTCGGTTTATCCTCATTGTCCGCTAAGTCATTTTATGCAGATTCCTTTTCGATAGTAGCAAAGCAGCACCAACACCACACTTGCAACACATGACTGGATACATTTGTATAATAACACTAGTTTACAGCCAAAAATTTCCAAAGACGAGACTTATATTTCCTATACAGAAATTTTCCGTAGAACTCGAAAATCACAACGATTTTTTTTTCCTGTGTACTGTTTTCGAGTTATTTGCAAAAAACCGTTATTTTGACTTTTCTCAAAACATCACCCTACATAAGGCCCCATAATTTTATTTTTGAAGTTACCATAGTAGTGTGTGATATATCAAATTAAAGGTGAAACTTGAAACAGAATTTATTTTTTTTAAATTTAAAGTGCAAATCTAAACAGTATTATATAAAATTGTATAAATTTTATTTAAAAATTAAAAATTAATATTATTAAATATTAATATATTGCATTTTATATAAAAGTTTGACGTCGAACGTGAAACTGCAGTATTAAAAGTAAATTTATATATTAAAACGAGGTATATGTGTAGTTTGAGCAAACTTCTTATAGTGTGTAGGATTTATTTCTCTTATAATTGTCCAACAATAATCTCCCAACATGCCTACGTCACAATATCCTTGATATCTTTTTCCATTGCAGAGATATCCTGATGAAACCTTTCACCTTGTTCATCATCTTCTGCACTAAAATTTGAAGGAAAAAGTCCACATGAGACTGCAAGAAATGCATTTTTGGAGACATATTTGCCTCAAGAACTTTGTAGATTTTAATTAAAGATGCAAAAATTTCTCTATAAAGTGAATTTCTTTCGTTACCCAAGAAGCCGATAACCATTTGCTTAAAGGAAGTCCATGCTTTCAACTCTTCTTTATTTAACATATTATCAAATTTTTTATCCTTCATCAGTTTTCTGATTTGTGGTCCAACAAAGATTCCTTCTTTAATTTTGGCAAAAGAAATGCCGGGAAAAAAATGTGTAAAATATTCGGAAGCAGGGATTTCGTTTTTTTACAGAGCCTTTACAAAATTTTTCATTAGGCCAAGTTTTATATGCAAAGGTGGCAAAACTTTCTGACACGGTTTAAGAAGAGTTTTATTAGCGATATTTTGAATTCCTATTGTGAGATCTTCTCTTTTTGGCCAAGATGAACGTAGAAAATGATCCTTTGTTGCTCTGCTGACCCATGAACACAGAAACCAACATATTTCGTAAAACCATGTTGCAGACCAGTCATTAATGCAATAATCTTCAAAAACAAAAATACAGAAAGAGTACATATAAGTACATTTTTTATATCAGATTTCTACATTTTTGTTATCTTTGATTGTACTTTATTCAAAAAATCAACCATTTAATCGGCGCATAGCTTCCAATTGAATTCGTTATATTGAATTAACATTAAAACTTTTGCGACTTCATTATAGGTTTCCTTTACCCCAACGGTATGCGCTAATGGTATAGTGGGAAGTTCATTGCCATCGTGAACAACAGCAGCTTTTAAACTAAATTTTAAACTATCTGTAAAAGACGTCTATCGCTAGGATTACACCTTATTTGCAATTTCTTGAAGAGACCTTTAATATCACTGCAATAAACAGTTTGATGGAATTTTTTGAGAAAACATGAATAAGCATTGCTTCTGTTGCGATATTCAGTTACTTTTGTGAATTCACTTAAGCAGTTCCACTGTTGAAGACGTGAAGACGTGAGGCTCACTATGAGCTTTTGATAAATGTAAGTCTCAAGTTCAATCGTTTAATTCAATTTGTGATATAAAATGATTTGCGGTTTCACTCGTAGAACTCTCACATGAATCTTTATTTTTATACTCCCTATTGTTGTCTTCCATATTTGGTGGAGTTGGATGAGTAGTCGCATTGGTTCGTGAAACTGGCTTAATTGCTGGTACTATTTCTGGATACTTCAGAAATCTTATTTTCTTTGCTGACATCATACATTTAAGATTTAGGATTTAGGAAATAATATTGAGAATGCTTTACAACCTCTTTCCATAATATTGGTACACAAAAGTTCAAATATTGTTTTCTTCCAATATACCATCTTTTAAGTGTAATCCTGCAGGTTAGACACACTGCATTAGAAGTCCACGGTTTATCCTGCTTAGCCATAGCAAATCCCAAGAACAATCGTATGGTATCATGTGATACTATATGTAAAATTAGCAGTTTAATAAACTAACGTTCGACGTCAAACTTTTATATAAAATGCAATATATTAATATTTAATAATATTAATTTTTAATTTTTAAATAAAATTTGTACCATTTTATATAATATTGTTTAGATTTGCACTTTAAATTTTAAAAAATAAATTCGAAAAAATGATTTTTCTGATTTGTTAATAAAAACCACTATTTTGGGCAGATTTGGAAAATGGCGAATAACTTCTGAAATTTTTATTCGATTTTTATGTTAAGCCACTCGAAATGTTTATACTAAAACAGTCTTTAACATCAATTAAAAAAAGAATTTTTTTTAAATATTTTTGTGGGAGTCCCATCACATTGAAAATCGAAAAAGTTGAAAAAGCGTAAAAAAAAACATTTTTAATCTGTGCATTTTCAGCTATAGCAGCAAAACTAAATAAGCTACATTTATAGTATGTTATGTAGCTTATAATGTTTGTACAAGTTTCACCTTTAATTTGATATATCACGCACTACTATGGTAACTTCAAAAATAAAATTACAGGGCCATATGTAGGGTGATGTTTAGAGAAAAGTCAAGATAACGGTTTCTTGCAAATAACTCGAAAACGGTACACAGGAAAAAAAATCGTTGTGATTTTCGAGTTCTATGGAAAATTTCTCTATAGGAAATATAAGTCTCGTCTTTGGAAAACAAAACTTTTAATTATTTGTAAACTAGTGTAATTTGCCATTACAATGATCACCTACTTTGCGCATTTCCATGACAAAATTGAACTGATCACATAGTAGGGAATTATAATATCTGAAGTCTCAAGTGATACTTATGTATGTGGTATAAAAAAAGTTGAAGAGACTTGATAATTTCTCTTCCTCTTGACAGAGCTACGTGTACTTTTTATACAGTACAGATGGCCAGTCGTTCGCAATAGACTGAGTTTAAACTCTATTGCTAACCATAAAACTGAACTCAAATTTATGCTTATTTGCACACATCTGCAGTAGATATTACAGTTTGCTCTTCTAGAACATTCATGTCTTCACCATCATATTTCATGGATGGCGATGACGCCATCCATTTACATTTATTACATTGAAGGCTACCTTACATTTATTGAAGGCTACCACCATTTAAATAGAAACAGGCTCCCAGCAGAAGGTTTGAACCTCCCAGATGAATATTCGTTAATTATGATTCTTAATTCAATTGCAGGGGACGTCAACACTCGATTGCCATATCAGAGATTGCTCTACGTGCATCCCTGATGACTGATTCTATGTGACGGTTGCCAAATCCTGTACAATGTACACAGCTCGAACTTAAAGCCTTGAGACTAAGATTCGTTTTACACACTATTCATCCATTACCAAACAGTTGTCATATAGTTAACATATCCAGGGATGTCACGTGGAGGTTGTGCGACAATCTGAATTGAAGCCGTCAAGGATGGAGCTTGCTTTTTTCAATTTGCATGCGATCAGTCATATTGCGTTGTGTACTTGCTCTCAGCAACTCATTTATCTACAGAAATTAGTTCTTTTCAGAACATGACCAAAATAAGCATATAAATGATCATTTGAAATTGTGTTTATTGCGATTTACGAAAATATTCTTTAAGAACTACACAAGAAAATTCTGATTTACAAACAAAGACACCGAATTATTGAAATTGCCTTCAAGCATTCATACTAATGAAAATGTAATGTCCAACATTAAACAATATACCGTTATTGCTTAAGTTCTTGAAAGTTCTGGACGCCATATCAAGAAACGACGGACTGTTTTGTGATGCTTTGATATTCCTCTTAGTCGAATTCAGACAAACATTACGAGTTATACCCCAGTTAAAATGTGCAGTCAAAATAAGTGTATGTTTAAAATCAACTTTAAAATGATACAGAGTGTAGAAATTTAAATTGACCACAAATAAAAGAGTGCAAATTTTAAACGACTTTCCTACGGGACTCAATTTTAAATTCAATTACTCGAAATTGGCAAGGGTGTGATGCATATCAACTCTTCAAGGCAGGCACTGAAATATCCAAATAATTTTTGATATCACACTCAATCCAAAAAACATTACCAATGTTTTTCAGAAGATCATTGATTATACTTGTTACCAAATGTGCTGATGTTGATACAATTAATAAATAAATTCATGATATGCTGAAAAGTAAAATTGTTCATTGCGCATTCTTACTGTCCGATATGCTTTTAGCTTTTGTCGACAACACAATTAATTCGATTTCTGAATTACCACACAAGCGTTTCTACCATTGATAAGGGATACGTATATTCGATATTTCCAAGTATTATAACAGATTTATGCTAAGCCAAAAATTTATCTAATTAAGTAATAAAAATTTTATTGTTCTAAATCACTATTCTTTAATTGAAGTATGTATTCCATTTAGTCACTTTAAATAATTTTTAAATTCTTCATTATACAAAACAATCAACAATTAATTACATTTAAAAATTATTAAAATATTTATTACTTGATGAAGTATTAAAATTATTTTCAAACACTTTTCCATTCTCAATTTAATCTACTTTACCTATTGTAATTTGGCCCAACGAATTTTATTCAAATCATCTTTCATAATTTTTCCACTTTCAAATAAACTCCCTTTTCAGGACCTCGACACATTTTGTACATATTAAACTTCATTGGTATCTGGGTCTTGTGTGAAGGTGAAAATCGAAAATTTTTAAGCAAGGAAGATAATCCAATCAACACCTGAAATTCTGCATATCTAGAACCAATACATGCTCGACCTCCTCTGCTAAACCCCAACCATCCCATTGGATGACGATTTTCGACTTCTGTCTTCGTAAATCGTTCTGGATCAAATTGTTCAGGATTTGGATATATATCTGGATCATGGTGTATGGCATCCATTGGTATAATTACAGTAGTTCCTTTTTCAATAACATAATTTGTATTAGAAACAATATAGTCTTCTGCGGTTTTGCGGGAAAGAAACGGCACTATTGAATACATACGCATAGTTTCTTATAGCAAACGGAAGAAAGATATTTTGTTAGAATATTTTGATAATTGTATTCGTTATTCTTAACAACTTACCATGCATAACTTGAAGTAAATATTTCATTTCATTTACTGTTTCATAAGTTAGCTTTCCATCATGCCGAGCAATGGTTTCAGTTATTTCTCTTCTGGCCTTATCCTGTATGTCTTGATTTAATGCCAATTCATATAAGCAGAAACTAAGTGCACTAGCACTTGTTTCATAACCTGCTGCAAAGAATGCAAATGCTTGTGCAGCTATCTCATCGATTGTCAAATTATCTACAGTATTTGGTTTTCTTAACTCCATGAGAATGTTAAGAAAATCTTTTCGTTGTTCACCATTTTGATCCCGAAATTCCACAGTTTCACGAACAACACGTAAAAAGAATAGAGAAACTTCTTCATTAATATATTTAAATTTTAGCTTTCGAAACAAATTTGGAAATAAAGTCATTAATGCCACAATAGGCCAACTATGTCTATAATAGCAAAGCTTTTTGGTGATTGCTATAAATTCACAATTCGGGTTTCTTAAATTATTACATTTTAAACCGAATACACCACTTCCAGTAACATCAGTTGTATACCGTACCATAAGATCATCACAATGAACTCCATCATCCATATTCGTTGAACTTAACGTTTCTTCCAAAACATTAACTAACTGATTTGCAATGTCGACTACTGAAGCAAGCATGAATTTAATTTTTCCAGATGTGAAAGCTGGAGTTAATTTCGCTCGCATTGTTTTCCACCGTATACCATCCAAATTTGCCAAGTGTGCAGAAATTGGATCATCTTTTTCGTTGTAGTAATGTCCGTGATCAGTAAAATTTCCAAAATCCTTAACTAATATATCTTGAATTAAATCAAGATCTAATAACATCACCACTTTTCGGATATATAAATATATTCCAACGAATCTCCCAGTTCCTTTATATTTCATATAATATTCACGAATAATTTGATATAATGTTTTGGATCGCGTAAACTCCTTGACATTGCCGTAAAAGAGTTCTGGTTTATCATGCAATATACCACGTTTACTAAAATAGGAGTTGTTTCTCTTCAATGCCAAATATATGAGCAGGAAACTTCCGAAAATAAAGTATGCAAGGATTCTTATTAACTCCATGTTGACAGTACTACATATTTCACACAGATTGCGGGATTGACTGCAAATCAGCAATCCAATAGACTTATATTGTTTCGTATTTTCTTAGTTTTTAAAGAAAAATTACTTGTCGATAATTAAACAAGTTTTTTATGTTGCGCAATTATGTGATTAAGTTCTTATAATAATTGTTAGACTCAAAGTACATATACCATAATTTGAATGTATAATAATATGATAATGATAAAATTTACATATGATTACAAGTATTTGACGGGTCTGTTGAAAGTAGGTGTAGGTTCCTCTGTTTAATGTTAAATTCTTGTAATTTAACAGATATCATTTTTATATTACCTACAGCGGTCAAAAATACTATTCGTTTTTTTTGTTGTTTAGATTTTTATCAGCTTTATGTTAAGATACGAACAATGAGACGCATTTATTTAAAGATATTCGGAAATACTTTGTTCTTTATTTAAGAACTTTATCTGTGCTTCAACAACACATTGAAATATAAATACCTGATTCTTTAAAATGCATACATTTGGTGTTCAACTATCGTAATTAACAATAAAAATAAAATCAACAACTTAAAAATAGAAAAATTAAAAATCATAAATTAAAACTCGATAACAAATTTTTTGGACATATATAACAAAACTAAGAAAACTAAAACAATATGATTGTTAAATATTATATTATATTGTTATGTGTTATATCTGTATAATTTTGATATGTATTTATACAAAAAACTCCTAGTTATTATTAGCTGCGTTTCAGCAAACATGATCCGCTCAATTTTACATGCAAAGCAAAAACAATGGGGTGAACCAGCAATTGATCTGGTTCACTTTCTGGTTCAATGTGGAATGTATGTAAAAGATAAAAGTGGAACGTATTTTAATGCAAATGAGGTTGGCAATGCGATGCAACGCATAAACAAATCTACATTTATATTTATTTATTATTGATTTTATTTATTTATTATTTATTTTATGTAGTAAAATTATAAACAAATCTACATTTATATTTATTTATTGTTGATTTTATTTATTTATTATTTATTTTATGTAATTATTTATTTAATATGTCATTATTATTTATTTCTTTGTTTGAAGTAATGCTTTAATTATTACTATTACTATAAATTAAAATTATTAAAATTATTACTTTAATTATTTACGTTTTATTATTATTAAAAAAGTGTTGTTTGATAATTTATGAAAATCAATTAATTTGAAATGAATATATAAACATTTAGTTGAATACATTTATTTAATTAAAACAGAACAATACATAAGTAAACAGGCTCTTCAACATACACGTTTATAAAAAAACCATTGCAAACTGCTTGCAAGTTTAAGCTATATTCATGGTTCCTTTTGAAATAAGCCTAATTGCTATGGTGAGGTGCATTTATTTTAACATGTGTGCTGTCAATCACGAACGGAAATTTTGCAATTGATATAAGCTAAACACTAGTTCTTTCAATTATTCTCCATACAGAAGGTTTTGATATGCCAAAACAAATATCAAATTCGCGAAAAGTATTTATATTTGCCATATACCACAAAAATATGTAAATTTCCTTCATTGCTCTCGTTCAATTGTGACCACCACGGTTATTTTGTATTTGCTGATTGGATTTTATTAACAAATCTATTAAAATATGAAACATAATTAATATATAGCAATTGTATTTTTTATGCGCAAATACCAATCAAATAGTCTTTATGGGAAGAATTATTGATCGTTTCCATAAAATTTCCACTATATCCATGGATGCACTTGATTCCTTGCGCTTAATACACTTGGACTAGTGTTTAAAAAGAAAATGGAGGAGTCAGTTTTGCTCGATAATTCTAATAAAATCTGCAATTTCCATTTATTTACTATAGAATTATATTTAAGTTTTTAAGTAAATACTAAATAAAAACTTACATTTCATACTTCAGACATTTCAACAGATTTTATTTATTTTCCAAGTTTTAGAGTTTTTGTATTCAAAATTTTCTCACTTATTTTTTTAGCGCCAAAATTATTCACATAAATCAAAAAATTTTGTACACAAACCCAACTGGCATATTTCATGCGTTGCCAATTATTTTCAAACGTGATCCGTATCGTTTCAGCAAAGATGATTCAGATCATTGAGCGGATCATGTTTGCTGAAACGCAGCTATTATTTCACAAGTTCAAAATAACTGACAAAATTAAAATGTTAATTCTTCTTTATATGTCATCTGTCATCCTTGGCAGAGTTGCCAACACCTCCCCTTTTGAGATTAAATCTCCAATTCGGTGATTCTAGGGTCAATAACGGTCAATAAGATGTCTAGTACGCCTTGGTCGGGTATACGGAACAACTGCCTCATTGTGCTTCTCAGTTTGAGGGATTGCAATCTCGGTTACTTCGTTGAAAGATTGATCTGGAGTCGAAACCATGTTTTTGTTAGTTATTTTGACCACATCTTTAGGTGTTGTTTCGTAGAGACCAAATGCATCAACTAAACACTTTTCGTTGGCGATATCTTCGTAAGTACATATTTCTAAAGATAACTCATTTTCTTGATCTTTTCGGTCACGAATTTGGTTGGCATGTGCACGAATAAGTTTGCCATTTTGTAAGCGAACATTATAAATGACGTTACCTATGCGTTCGATTATTTTTCCTTTTGTCCAATCAAAGTGTTTGTTTTTATATATATTGACATAAACGAGCTCTTGTTTTTCGTAAAACTTTGGCTTTGCACCGTGCTTTTTGTCAAACTGCGCTTTCATTTTGAGTTGTGTATCGCACTTGTTTTTAAACTTGGCATTTGGGTCTGGTAAAGACACCAGCGTTGGTTTAATCAAGTCAAGTTTAATACGGATATTTCTTTTTAGTAAAACTTCAGCTGGCGATTTACTGTCCTCATTTTGCTTATTCGGAGTTGATCGGTAAACTTGTAGAAATGTTTGAAGATTTTCAACAGTTACTGTTGGCAACTCTGCCAAGGATGACAGATGACATATAAAGAAGAATTAACATTTAAATTTTGTCAGTTATTTTGAACTTGTGAAATAATAATAACTGATGACAGACAGACATGATGACAGATGACATATAAAGAAGAATTAACATTTAAATTTTGTCAGTTATTTTGAACTTGTGAAATAATAATAACTTTAAAATGTTAATTCTTCTTTATATGTCATCTGTCATCCTTGCCAGAGTTGCCAACATTATGTATAAATAATTTGTTTGTGTTATTTTGTATGAATAATTTGTTGTAATAATTTCATTTCAAATATATTTTGTTGTAAAAAATAATTTTGTCAATGCAATGCCCAAAAACACGTCATACGCTTTGTTTGCTCATGAAAACAAAAGCGTCAAATTTCGTCTGCAATAAAATGCACTTTTGCAGTTTGTAACAAGTTCATTGTTTGGCATGCATGGTCAAGGTTATTTTAGTTAATTTATTTGTTGTAAATTGATTATTAATTTTAAATAAAAGGCACAATTGAATTTTTGACAATTCAATTGACGCGAAGCCACATTCGTTATTGATTCATTTCTTTAGCTTTGTAAATTTAGTTCAAGTGCTGAATTTACATCACATAAGCGCCTAGTCACTGGATTTAAGTGTTCAGTGACTAGGATAATTAGGATAATCGTCGAAATCTCTGGGTTCAAGTACTCAGTGGTTTTCTTGTTTAAATAGAATCAACATAAGTACTGGATTCAAGTGTTCAGTGCTTGCAAATAGTTGATTCCAACGTTGATCAGACATTTTGATTTGAACGTACAATGATGATATTGGGCCAAAAATCAGAACGTTCTCTTTTTTCTCAATAAATATAAACAAACGGCTAACTTTTATTGGTTTTTATCTCTTATCTCTGATCAACTGATATTTATCCAGTTCATTAGAGTAAAATGTACTAAAATTATCGGTGTCTCTCTTGTAGTTTACCACCTGTTCATTATTTAATATGATGTGAATAACTTCACTCATGTAGTAATATAAGTATTATTATAATTAGATCTATATATAAGTACTAGCTGACCCGGCGAACGTTGTTTCCCCTTGCAATTAATTTTCCTGGTTCTGTTGAGTTATAATATTTGTTGTTATTCAACTTAACCTTTAGCATTTTAATGCGAAAATTATTTTGAACTGATTTTTTCTTTTGAACTGCAAAAAGTCCACATGTATTACTTATGTTACAAATATTTTCATGTTACTTCCAATCCTTATAAGCACTACATTTTAAATGAAAAAAGGTTTTTTTAATATTATATTAACAGTTTTATTATGAGCTATTATGTTATCTTAAAGCTAAATCATGAACAATATTTTTTGTTAAGTCATTTTGACCGTATATATATAGATCAGAGGGTTTTCCAACACGGGATCATGCAACATATAGTTGCCCATGCGAAAAACATGTTTGACCTTGAGATTTATTAATTGTCATCGCAAATGCTAAACGAATTGGAAATTGCAATCGTTTGAATTGAATTGGATCATCGGTTGGTATAATTGGCATGTGTGGAAGCAATATATTTTCTCCTCTGAATTTTCCACTTAACATTGTTGATTCAATTAAGTTCCCCATAATTCTTTTAATTACTAATCTTGTTCCATTACATAATTTTGGTGGGTTTAGATTGCGTAATAAAATGATTGGTGAACCAACTTTTAAAAGTAAATTGTGTGGTGGTAGTCCTGGCAAATCAAGCGAATTTAAGAACTCAGTGGGATAATTCACAATCTCGTTTTCATCTACTACTGTGTCGATGGATTTTAATGAAATTAAATTACCAGGTAGCATAGCCTGAATTTTGGAATCGATTTCATCGACATATAAGTTCTTGGCAGCCAGAATCGCTTTACATTGAAGCCATTAATGGTTCTGATAATTTTAATAGATGCGAGGAAATACGCCTTCTTTCGAATTAACAATTTTACAAAAATTTTCTGGCAATTTAATAAAGTGCGTATTTTCATGAAGACTTACGTTTCCATTACCAATATCCAGCAATTGTTTGGCAAACAGTTCAACAGCTAAATCTCTCTGTAGTGCAACACGCATGTTTTCGGTAAGTCGCAATATATGGACACTTCGTCACAAAATAGATGATTTGAGGCAAGCAT